CCCAGAGACCGGTTCAGCCCCACGAACCTAGCTCTGCCCCCAGCCCCGCCCAGCCTGCTGCACCCTAGCTCTGGGCCAGAGCCCCGGGTCACCCAGTCAGTCACGGGTCGTGGAGCCATCCTTGCTTGGCCCTCACCCCAGGCCTGGCCTGAGGCTGCTGGGCGGGGGTGGCTCTGCCCAGGAGGAGGCTAGGGGTGGGGGCGGCGACCCTGGGGACTCACCAGGCGGCTTCATGTAGTACTGCTCGATGTCGGCCATGTCCGTGTGCAGCGCACAGTCCAGGTAGGCCAGGACCACCTTTCGGCTATAGTAGTAGCGCAGGCCCAGCAGCCCGGCAGGCACCAGACAGGTCAGCAGCAGCGAGCGGGTGAGGGCGAAGCAGAGCGCTGCGGGCAGAGGGACACCGTGAGGACAGGCGGGGGACGCCCGGCCTGCCACCCTGAAGGGCCTCAAAGAGCCCCGCAGGCACGCCCGGTCCGGGAGCCAGTCAGAGCCCCGCGCAGAGAGGGCCCCTCTACCCCCTGCCAGGACGGTCCCGGAGGGCCGCACCACGGAGCTGCTCCTTCCCATGGTTCCCTGTTCTCACCCACACGTGCCCCGCAGGAACGGCCCGGGTCTTTCAACACCGGGCACCATAGGATCTCCAAAGCGCCTGGCACAGCTCTGCCTCTGGACAGGCTGTCCCAAATGGCCGGCGGGGGCAGCCCCAGGCAGGGCTCCTGGGGAGGGGCTACCCTCCCCATGCGGTCCCCCAGCTAGGGCAGGGGCTTTGCCGGGTCCTCGCCCACTCCCGCCTAGTGGGAAGCCAAGGAGCTGGAGCTGCCCGGCCCGGCTGCAGCAGACCGACCCGCTTCCGCTGCGATCATCTTCCAGCGCGAGAGCCTCGGGGCCGCCTTCTTCCCAGGGTCCCCACCGAGAGCCCTCCCGGGCCAACCCCCGGGTTATGAGCACAGACACCGGGGAAGGACACCCGAGATGGCTGCAGCCCCATCTAGGCTGCCAGGAGGCAGACGCGCCCACGGTGAAAGTCGCCTCTGCTTCGTGACCTTGGGAGAGTCGCGCCCCCCGAGACTCAAGCTTCTTATCTGTGAAATGGGGAGAAGTACCGCCCCGTGGCGGAGCCTCAGGGAAAGGCCGCAAAGCCCCTGCGGAGGCTGCCCGCCGCCACGGAGGCCGACGGCCCCTCGCCCCACCTCGGAGCACACCCTCTCGGCACCCCGGAGCTGGCTGTCTTCCCCTCATAAATTAGCACTCGGAGCCGGCGAAACAGCCGCCCCCGCCCCGCGGATTATATATAGTTACACGCGCCAGGCGCGGAGCCTCGGCGGCGGTGCTACCTGCCGTCACCCGCCCCCACCCGGATGACCCGGGAAGAGACAGAGAGGCGGGGACGCAGGTGAAGACCCCGGCTTGCCCTGGCCCGCGCTCGTTCCCACGCCCCGCCCGGCGCGCCTTGGCCGGGATCCCCGCCGCCCCACTGCTG